AAAAGGTACTGCGCAGGAAGGGTGACAAGGTTTATGTGAAATGGTTGGGATTTTACTTCTGAGCGTGCATTACTCGCTGAGGCTCGTGGTCTGGCTCGGAGTCACGGGGTCGGGCATGTATGGATGAGGGGGGGAATCACATATTTCCGACTTGCGGAGGGTTTGCCTTCTCATAGGTACGATTCGCGGGAGTCTATGCTTCGGGTTGTTAGAGAGGCGACTTCTAACTGTGTGCTGCTGCCTGATGCGGCGGGCCCTGCATGACGACCCAGCGCTTCACGGTCGCCGATCTCCCGTCCCTCGCGTGAACTGGGATTTCGCGTGGCCCATGTTAACGCCCGGTCGCTCGTCCCGCACTTCTCTTTAATCAAGGATCTTATAGCCTTGCACGAGCTGGATGTACTGGCGATCGGTGAGACATGGCTACGCGAGGGGATTGATTCTGGCTTGGTGGCCATTCCTGGCTATACGTTTATCCGTAGAGACCGTGCCTCTTGTTCGCGTGGGGGTGGAGTCGGCATATATGTAAATATCTCATATGCCCTGTCGGAGGTGGATTTCGGGTTATGCCCATCGGGCTCGTGCGTGGATATTGCGGCGGTCTCTCTTCGTCTTGGGTGTAAGCGAGTTGCGATTGTTTGTATTTATCGGCCACCTCGTTCTCCGGCATCTGATATTGGCTGCATAGAATCATGTTTGTCCCATACTGCTACTGTTGTGGATGAGATTATTTGCGTGGGTGATTTCAACATTGACACGAGTCGTTCCGGGGATCCTAGTGCCAGATCATTATGTGATATTGCGATGCATCTCTCTCTAGGTCAGCTTATTGATGCTCCAACTCGTATAACGCGTGACTCGGCGGCTATACTAGATCTTATTTTCGTGTCGCGAGGACTCGATGTTACTGATTATGGAGTTATGGATGCTCTCGGCATAAGTGATCATCAGCTTATTTATGTGGCAATGCGATCCGATCGGGCAAAGAATACAGCGCGTCACCTGCTCTCTCGTAACCTTAGATCTATTCAATCGTGTGACATTGATCTTGAGTTGAGTCGGATTGACTGGTCACCGCTTTTTGGGGCGACTCATGTTGATGGTATGGTCACCTACTTTACGACGTCACTTATGACGATATTTGATCGTCTTGCGCCACTTACTGCTAGGCGTATCTCTCGCCCTCCTGCCCCGTGGCTGAATACAGCTGTCAGGAGTCTAATTAAATTGAAGCGTCGCGCATTACTTAAATTTAAGCCTACTAGATCTCCTATGGACTGGAAGAGCTACAGATCACTGCGTAATGATGTAAATTATGCCATCCGTCGTGAGAAGAGATCCTTCCTTACATCCTCGCTCTCCTCCAACTCAACACGGCAATTTTGGCGAAATCTTGCAGTACTTGGCGCTAAATCCTCTTCCTCTACCTTACCTGTACAACTCCTTAATCCTTCCTTAATTAATAACCACTTTATTGACTCCCTGCCCAAATCTTCCTGCTCTCTTGATTT